TTATTATTTTTATTTTTATTAATAATAATAGTAATATTATTATTATTATTATTATTATTATTATTATTATTATTATTATGGATCTTATTCCATGCGAACAACCAAACACAGTAATGTAATATTCCTGAGAATTTGTAAAAGATTCTTGTATGAAACCAAATATAGTAATGTATTATTCTTAAGAATTATATTACCCTCCATCACTTTCCGGGGAATATGATTCCTACTGATTCTTACATACCAAACGCCCCATAAGTTATTAGACTAACTAAGAATATTTTAGACCACATCTTAAAAGACTTAAAACACTCTCATTTAAAATCTGATATTCAAAACCTTAGGGCTTTTTCATTTATATTTTTTGAGTTAGGGTGACTTAAATTCAGATCTTGATTTGAGTTAAAGTGTATTTGAGTATGGTTTAAGTTAGAATTTTAATTTGAGTGTGTTTGGATGCGCACATTTTGAGTTATGTTTTGAATTGTGTAAATTTGTGTTTGGGTGAGTCAAAACATGAATTTGTATTTAAATAATATTTTAATAAAAATTCAATAGTGATAGTTTTATTCGTCTTTTCATTGTGAACGCATAGAAAAAAATAATCCCAATCAGAATTAAAATAAAAAAATTATGTTTTTAAGAATAGAAAAAAACTGTTCATTAATTTGAATTTGAATTTAGAAACTTGAGTTGAAAAAAAAAAAACTTAAACTTAAATGAAATTATAACATAAGTTTATTTTTTTTTTTAATTTTAGTGCAAATGAATAAGTCTTGGGGTCCCATTCATTTCACCTATTTGAGGAGTCACATTTATGCTATGTTTGGTAGGAAGGAAAAAAAATAGGATGGAAAGAAAATATGAAAGTGATGGAAAATAGCAATGATGGAAAGGAAATTGATTTTCTTTTATGTTGTTTGGTATGAGAAGATGGAAAGAAAATGAGCTTACCTTCACTTGTTTGGTATTAGAAGTTAAATTAGGAGGAAAGAAAAAATCTTACTCGTAAATTACTTTTATACCCTTAAATTTTTTGCTTGGATGTTGATGGAGAAAATGATAGTTTAGTAACTTTGCTCGCTTTAATGAGTTGTCCTAATTTTTCATCCCATTTTCTGCCCACTTATGGAAAGGAAAAAAATAGTGGGGCCCACATGTATTATTTTTCACTCCATTTTCTCTTCCTTTCTCTTTTCTCTCCTACCAAACAACTTGCATTTTCTAGCTTGTTCTTTTGAGTGAAAAATTCAAAAAAAGACAACTCTAAGTTACAACTTTATTCAAGTTCATGTTCTTTTAAGTTTAAACTCGAGTTTAGGACTAAAACTCGAGTTCAAGTTTTCCCTTCAACTCGAGTTCAGAAACTCGAACTCAAATTAATGAACAGTATTTTTTCTATTCTTAAAAAGGCTATAACTTTTTCGTTTTAATTCTGATTGAGATGATTTTTTTTTTCTATGCGTTGACAATGAAAAGAAGAATAAAACCCGACCCATATACCATATTAAAATTTTTCATCAGTATTGAGTTTTTATTAAAATACTAGCTAAATACAAATTCAAGTTTTGACTTACTGAAACACAAACTCAAAAAGATTCTTATCTCAAATCATAATTGAAATGTACACAACCAAACACAAACTCAAGTTATAAGTTCAACTCAAGTTATAACTCAAATTCAACTCAAGAATTATACTCAAGTTAAACTTCAAAAGAACAAGCCCTTCATTTTCCCTCCCAAAATTATTCCACCTTATTCCTTCCTTCTACTTTTCTTTCCTACCAAACATACTCTTAACTTTTTTTCCTCCAGCTAACATCTCTCTTTCTCTCTCTATGCGCTCCCTTCTCCCTCCGGCTCATCTC